ACTTTCTTTCGATTCTAAGATCGCATCATTTTCCAAAGCAAATTTCTGCCTTTCCACAGGTCTACTGGTAGGTCTGCTTTCATTTTTCTTTCTCTTGACTATTATTCTTGAGAATACAAAATAAAATCTTAAAAATGTAGCCTGCTGACTATTCCAAATTTAAATTAGTGTGAAAGTAGACAAAATGTGAGAGGTCTTTAGTTACTTTCCTCCACTTTATACCAGCTGCTATCTAAATTGGCAATCTAAATCTGGATTGATCTAAATAGTACACCTAATTAAACTACTTTACTTTGTACTTAGCAGTATGCATAAGAATGCCACTGGCTTATATGCCAAAATCAGACGCTAGTTTGATCCTTTTGAATTTTTCTATCTTGGAACTGAATTTGAATTATTAGGAATAGGGAGATATATATATATATATATATATATATATATATATCCCCCTCTACATCTACGAACGATTCACTGAGTACCCTCCTGTACGTGAGACCCTGATGACAAATATGCCCAGTAGTACATTTGAGTAGCTTTTATTTCATTTTACATACACCAACTTCAATGTCTAGAATAAGAGTTTAGTAGCTCTTTCTCATTGCTCTCATCCGTGTTCCTCTGCACCTCCATGTTAGTTTACTGGGGCTGCCCTCCCTGATCCACAGACTTGCTGATTTACACAGCGGAGTGTTATTGTCTCCCAGTTGTGAAGGGTACAACTGTATGATGGAGTACTGACGTTTGTTCACAGGCTTTGCTCCTCGTCCCATAACTGTGATCTTTGCTTTGTACCTTCACACCATCTTGTCACTGTGGGTACCTGTAACTTAACCTCTTCCTTAGAGGACACCTGTCATCTTGATTGAGGTTCAGGGCTAATGACCTCATTTAACTGTAATTACCTTTTCACGTGCTTTTGGTTCAGGTGGTCACATTCCAGGCTCCTGGGGAACAAGATTTTGTCCTATGAATTTTTATGATATAATTCAGCTCATAATATCCTCGTACTCATCCCTGCACATTTGAAAATCAGGTCTTTATGCCCTCCTTTCTTGGTTCCTAATAATCTCTCACCTCATCTCTCCTCGGGAAAAGAAAAAGGGGAAAATTTACCTACTATGCAAGTCTTCCTCTTATTTTGAATTCTTTCAAAGCCAAATCATATTTGCATTTATCACAATAATCCATTTAATAGTTTTTTATTACTTCATTTTATCTTACATAATCATGCTTAGAATCCCATCCTTAACTGCTCTTCGAATTTCCTAAATGAAATCTTTTACCCTACCCTCTAGCTTACTCTGTTCTTGCCTTTGTAACTCCTGAACATCTTGAGAAATCATGTGCAACTGTAATTCTCCAATATTTTAGACTTCTTCTTTCTTTTCCTCTTTGTCCAAGAAAAGTTTTATAGTTGATAATTTTAATTATATTATTACTAATGTGCCAAAGATCATTGTTTCTAATTTTTACCACACTCTTATGACATTTCAGTGATGGAAGAATTACAACTGTGCTTCGTTCTTATCCAAAAACACAGAAAGGGAAAGTCCAGTGAAAACCAGCTTTCTTATCGTGTATGATAGTTACCTTCACTTGGGAGACACTGTCACTGTATTTCCTGGTCAATCATCATATAATTTTAAATTAAAACAGAATAAAAAAAAAAGACTTCACACAAACTCCAACTTTCTTTTCTTTTCTTTTTTTTTTCCTGGTTAGTGCCTGGCATTAAGTTTTAATTCACAAAGTCAATAGAAACCTCATCTTCTTTGGATCAAACATATCAATCTTTTGGGAACACACTATATATCTGATTATGAAACATTTATTCTATATATTCCAAAGGCCCTCTAAAATGTCATTCTCCACCATTCACACAAATAGAAAAGGTCCATTTCTAATGTTATTTGTGCTGGTAGTGTTACTTACAATGAATGGTAATATGAGCCAAAAATCTTTTTTTTTTTTTTTTTAATATATCAGTACCAGGGATCGAACTCATGACCATGTGCTTGCAAGCCAGGCACTTACGCCACTGAGCTAAATCCCCAGCCCCAAGCCAGAAATCTTGGCAGTTTCCTTTCTCTCACTTTTTACAGGTTTTCCATATTCCATAGCTTTTATCTTTTTTGTCCACATCCCTAACTGTAGTACTCAAAATTACCTTATCTTTGAGGAAGAAATATCCTACTTATGTCCTGAACCATTCTCAGTCCATTATTTTACACACTGCAGTCCAAACAATCTCTCAAATTACAAACATGGCATCATCAGCGCGGGTCTCTCCTGTGGCAATGTCCTCAGGGTCTCACAGGCTTTCTCAGAATAACTATCATGGTGAACACAGACTCAGCATGGTCTTCCCGGCAGCTCCTTCTATTATAGTTCTATTGTTTTTTCAGTCGCAGTTTTGCTACCTAGTTTTTGTCCATCCTAAATGCCGGGTCCTTCTTACCACATCTGTGCACTGTCTCTTCTTCATTCTGATGCCTCTTGTCAGCTGTGGTTTTGTCTTACTGGTCCACATAAGTTGAGAGACAGTCAGAAGATTCTCAAAAAGATGTTTCTGAAATGGCTGAATGCATGAAGGAGAAATGAATCAGTATTTTATTTTTTTGGTGGAGGAATATATCTAGTATTTATATCCATATCAAGTAGTAAGGCAATTTTAGGTATAGAAATGATAAAGACAGGTGATGAATTTCATATAAATGAATGAGTCTTGCCTTAATGGTGAAATTGAACTGTCATGTAGGTTCCTTTAAGACAACTGCCTTCACTAATCTCAAGGTGGATTCAGTCACTCTACTGTAGCTCTTTGACTTGTTTTGTTTAGTCTCAAATTAAATTACCTGCCTTCATCTAACTACTATAGCCTCAGTTCAGATTGCTATTTTTTAAGACTATGGCATCTAGTCTTGTATTTTCCTAATACATTTTTCAAATTTTCAGTGACATTTTTCTTTTTAAAGTACCAAACATTGTAAGGTACTTCCTGGGTCATGAAGGCAGTCAGGACTGCCTTTGTACTGTGTTCCTGATAGATGTGACCCCCTCAACCTCACACTGTCTGCAAGGCCTCCTGTGTTCCTCAGGACCGATTCCCCACCTCCTCTGTGTTCCTGGGCAAAGGCTTCTGACCCTGTGTCTCAGAGTCTTGTATTGAAATTCATGTTTTCTTCCTGTCTTCCTTTCTAGTTTTTGAATCTTTATAACTATTATCACAGTGTTCACAGAAACTTGTCACAATGGGACTGTTTTATAAACATTTATGAAATGAATGTATGATGAACTAATGTTTTTAAGAGGCTTTTAAAAACAGTTCAGTCGCTAGTATAAGAGCATTCAAAGTAATCCATTTTTCTTGTATTTTGTGGTGAGTGCATTTGATTGGACTGCTTTTTGCATAGGAATTGATGTTGCTAGTATTTATGAAGACAAAGACAGGATCAGTGAGTTACTACTGATTCTGAGGTTTACCATACCGGTTGCCCCAAACAAGCTCTTTGTCCAATGGGAGGGGTAGGAAATAAGCAACCTTGCATGTCCTCACATCAAACTTAAGTTACTTTCCTTGACTAGAGAATCCTGAAGTTTAGCAATATGTTTTCACATGTTAGTGCAGGTTTTAGTAACAGTAACTCAAAAATTATGTATTGAACAAATTAAGAATATAACATCTATATTTGAAATTGCCAATTTCTCTTAACAGTCTCAAGACATTTGAATTTGAAGAGAGGTGGATCTTTACATACTGAATCATTTCAAAGTACTGGGAAGAACTGTACAGTTCTGTTCAAAATGGTAACAGAATTAGTGAGTAAGTGTGAGGGAGGGATTTTTCAATTTAAAACACGGTGCATTTTTCTGATTGGTAATGTGATGATATTTTTGTTGCATACAAAAGCCATAGCTATTTGCATAGTAAAGTCAATTTTCTGTTAACAATTCCAAATCAAAATAAATATAATAAATCTTTTCCCCAAAGTCCATAACAAAAAAAAAAAAAAAAAAAAAAAAAAAAAAAAGAAGGCTTCAAATGATAGCAATGTAAAGTGGATAATTACTCTATGACTTTCCCAAAGTAACTCTTATTTTTTGGTCTTTCCACTCTGTGGGGTCACTGCCTTTAACAAAATCCACTTTTAGTGGTTTAAATCTGCAATGCTCCCTCAACCTTTAAGCTTTATTCTTTCATCACCACAATTTGAAATCTTGCTATTTCTGATTATTGTCAAAACAAATATACAATGCTTTTAAGTTATCATCTATAATTTATATTACACAATGAATATAAGAAATACAAGCATGGCATAAGAAACATGAAAATGGTACAGCTTTAAGAGGGATGAATTTATACTTACAGGCCAATTAAAGTTAATACTATAGAAGACCATAAATAAATTATCTCTGCTTTTCATTTTGAAGTATCACTATGTGCAAAAACAATTACTGGGAAGAAAAAATTACAATTTTCTAGTTCTAAATTTTCACCAGTTAAAAGGAATGTACAAAAAACAAAAAATTAGTATTTATATTTGTGGATAAAAATACTAAAGCACTTATACTCACACTGAGTCTAGCTCATACGGAATAATTTTCTTAGGTGTTATAATAGTAATGATTGATCCTCAGTGTGAAAATACAGCACAGAGATGGGCAAACACAAGGCTGATACACACATTACTGTATAAGAAGTGATTAATATATAACAGCAAAAATTAAAATGTGAGAAACCGTGATACTCAGAAATCCATTGACAAATAGTATAAAATCATTGATGGGATAAGGAAACAGTAAAATCACTGTGTTATGTTCAGCTAGCCAATTATTTTGATGTAACAAATATTGGCTTTAATTCAGTCATTCTTAGCTAGGGAACTATAAACAGATTACTCAAGCAGAACAATAGTGAGATGGGGGAGGTGTGACGGGATGTGGAGAGGATGAGTAGTGGAATTTGCACCATATGCTCTAATTTAGATTTGGACAGCTTTTTGGATGTCTTCAGAAATAAACAGGATTTCTGTTTTTTGTCTTCTTGATATGGGGTTTACATTTAGAGGGGGAAAATATCCCCTCCTAGTTTAAGGAAACAAATGAAGTCTTTCTGGTTTGAATATTTATTTTAATGAGCAGAAAGCCCATTTGGATGAAAAAGGTGAAGAAAAAGCAAGTTTACACTGCCCTGATGTGGCTCTGTGATCACGTCTGTCTCCTCCAGCACTAATTTTCTTTGATTCTAACTCATCTGTATGACCAGACATCTGTGAGTATTTATGCCTTTTTTTGGTTATGCGCTATCCCTCTCTGGCTATCCATCAAATCCAGAACAGACTTCCCAGCAATATTTTGCAGAAAATGTAGAGCAGAATGATAACTGATTAGCATTACGTGATAAATGGACATTCTTCAGCTGAAACTGTAAAGCGCAAAACAGCTGAGACAACATATGAGCAGGAAACACAGTGCACAGTCTGGCTCTTGGTTCGTGTTCACACAGTTTATGTTTTATCGTTGTAATTCAAAACTATATACAGCTCAGGCACTGTCTGATCTATGCAGCAGATACAAAAGAAAAAAAAAATACAGGCTGACAATCTTTAGTTTGCATATACCTTGATGTTATGTTATGGGAAGATACACTTAGTAGTGGCAAATGTAAAATTTAAAGGTTAAATTCACTGACTCAGGTTTTGCTTAAAAAACCTCCTGCTTTGGGTAGCTTATCCAAATGCCTTATGATCAGATCTCTTGTGTTTCAGTTCTTTTGGACTCTGATTAATCCCTTGATGCATCCCTGAAAAACAAAAAGTTAAAATATGCCTGCTAAAAGTTCACAAAGTTCCACTCTACCTAAAGGGCCTCTTCGGCTACCAGCAGACAGTTGTTACTCTGATGTGGCGCTCTGACCTATGATTCCAAATCTTCCTTCTTTTTTAGAGAAATTAGAAAACCATTTTTTAAACAAATTGTATTTACTAACTTAGTTTATATGAATATATATATATATATATATTTTTTTTTTTTTTTTTTAAACATTGTAAGGACTAAACAACTACTGATGACATTTAACTTACAGACTTAAAAACCTCTAACTTAGATATTTCGCAAAAGCTGATATTTGTGTGATGCTAGGAAGCATTAAATATCTACTTTAAAAAAAAATCACAATACCAGAGTTTACATATAGTGCATATTTTATGTATTGCAAACAGTCTTGATTGATTTATTAAAGAGCATCAGTGTATCACACAGTATTAAATCAAGTAATAGTCTATTACTGTAATATGTCATTAATGAATAGTAAATACTTGACGTGGAAATATTCTTATAGACCCTCCAACCAATTCGCTTCATATGAAGATGAAAACAGTCAAAGATTAGCAGTGAGAACAAGCAGAAGAATAAGAGAAAGAATAAGGAATTACATGCATTCAGTGTGTTTTTCCAGAATGCTTTTAGGGTCTTTTTCACTGCATTACTTTCTCTAATTGCAATAATGGGGACAAGGGTGAGATTGTGACTGATTTAGCACCAACTGTTAGAACAAACAACTTTCTGTTTGTAATAACCAGAAAAAGGGTTAGAATATGGTTTACTTAGCACCAACTGTGAAAACTGGGAGTTTTAAGCAAATAGCCCAAGGCCATGCAAAAGAGCATGATTACCCTCTAAAAGAGTACCTTACTTCCTGCACTTAGGTCTGTACAGCATGACAGGAACCTAGGAGCGCAAAACGATCTTTTGATACAAGGCAATATTTTAAAATTTCATATATGGCCCTTTTAGGTTAATTTAATTTTTCTTAGCTACATTTGAATTTATTTAAATAATACTTTAGACTAGAAACTTTTAAAAGCAAGTGTACAGATGAGATGCTTCAGCCAATCATACATTTTAATATTTTAAAATTACTTTTTATAAATAATACTTTTTGCATAAAAATTTAATTACATTTGCATGAAAATGATCCATTCGTTACTGTCTAAATCTAATACTCATGTCAAAGATTTAACACTTCTAATTGTAATCCTGCTTGTTTTCTACTGTTCATTTCCCACCCATGAATAAGAATAAATTAAAAGTTAGATAATTGCATTGACTTCATCAGAAAATAATAACTTTCCCTTTCTGTAAAATATAAAGCTTATATATTCATGATTATGAAGGCTGTGTCTATGTACAATTTGGCTAAATTATTCCCTTCCCTTCATCAACTTACTACTTATGGTAAAACTGTATTAGATTTTATTTATTTTGAGAGAATTTATGATAATCTTTAAAATACTTGCAAAATTTTAATTAAAAATTGGAGGATAGGTTTAAGTATGACATTGATTTTTTTTTTTTTTTTTGAGAAGTAATGCTTTCTTAAAATACATTTCTCTGGTCCTTTTTATAATTTGGCATGCTTTTTGTTAAGTTCAGTATGCTTCGAAACTATCTATGAAAATTTATTGTGATGTAAATATTAGGTAAAAATATGTCAGGGCAGAGAAAAATGATATATTCAGGCTTATATTTGTTTTTTAAGGTATAAGGTATGCTGCTGTAAGATTTTTAGGTACTATATTATAGATGTCTTATATTAACTATGATTTATTTTTTGGCCTCAACCTTTAACTTTATAATGTATTTTATGCTCCATTTTCAAAAATGACAGGCCTACTTGTTTACATTATGCTAATGGCTCTGAGATATCACTTCAAGGACGTTTAATAGTGAACTTTTACAAATAGTGAAATCAAATATATAATCAGGTCTCACAGCTCTGTTAAACTTGAAGTTACATGTAAGTGCTGTTAGTGGCCAGCCAATAAGTTCTGTCCTCTGATTGCTTCTGGTCACTGCTTTAAAATTTACTTTATCACCTTGTGTTTCTACTTCAATTTAAAAAACAAAACAAAACAAAATGAAACAAAGCAGAAACCTCAGGTGCTAATCAGAAAGCTTAATGACTTGGATTCACTTCATCATTTGCACCTGGTTTTAGTACTATTTTTCTTGCCTGTATTTTTGTGCTTTCTCTTTATGATTTGTATTAGTTCCTTTGAAACGAATAGCTTTGTGTAAGCAGGAAGACAGAAAAAAAAATAAATGCACTACCAATAGATGCTCTGAACAATATTTTTACAGAAATAATGTGTGACACTGAATCATAGACCTCTGATGTTAAATATTGCTTTAATCTTTACAATGTCAACACATATGACCAAGGTGAACTGCTTGCTTTGAATGTCAAAGATTTATATTGATTTTATGGCAGCAGAATAAATTAGTTGATTATTTCATGAATGGGTTTCAGTGTCGTCTCTTGAGATCTGTAAGTAAAATTACTGCTTGGGGAATGCTGAAACGCTAGTCATCTCTCTTCTAATATTATCTATCTTGAGGATTTCTATACAGTGTTCCCATGACATTTGGAAAGATTTCATTTTTATGCTTAAACTGTCTTCATTACTATTCCCAGAATCACAGTGCTTTTGCAATGTGACTTAGTCTGGAATATAAGAAAAACTGTTCATGCCCTGTGTATAGTGCAGTTTGGTTTGTATTTGCTTTGCATTCAGTAAGTAAATGCTTCAATTTAGATGTACAATTAAACATATAGTAGTGTAATAGACAGGCATGACTTTAAACACAAAGATCAGATATTCTCTGTATTTTAGCCTCCTACAGATCACCTGGGGCGGCCAGGGGAGGGGAGTTGCGTAAACACTGCTGTCGTGTATTGCTTCATACTTTCCTCATTATTTTCTATTAGTTTATAGTCATCTTTATTGTTGACTACATTGCATGTTATTTTCCACTTAGTTTGTCTTCTTATAAAAAGCCAATGTATAAATAACAAAGCTGCTTTTCATCGTGGACATATATAGCTCTTCAGTGACATGCAGGGACTAGTATGTATTGCAGAAGGATAAAAGAGTAACCAAGTGCGTATTTATGTTTGCATGTGGCAGTGAGGTTATGCCAGCGTCTTCCTGTAAATGGAAACCTTCCAGGTCACTTACACTTAATAAATATAAATTGCTCCAATCTTACTCAGAGATATTGAGATGCTAGAATTCTTTATATTGGTTTCTCTCCTATACCAACTATGTACCAAACAATTCTTATGGTTCTGTTGTTAGACTTTTCTCCAATTTTAAATTTTTGGGCTTGTTAATAAGAAAACCATTTTTGGAAGATTACTACTGTGATTGCTAGTTATGAATGTAGAAGAAAATCAGTGAAGAACTTTCTTTAGCAAGGAGCTTGTCAGGAGCTACTTAGAGTTCTTATAGTCCTGGGGCTGGGAGATTGTTAAATATTATGAATATAGAGGAAAGAATTCAAGAATACTCCTTATGCCCTTAATATTGGTTATCATAGAATTAGACTTTTTTTCAGCATGCAATGAAGGAAGATGGGTAAATTATTTTAAATTTCTATAATTGTGCATCATTTTATTTGTGATAATAAGTATACGCTATTGTGCGATAAACAGTTTATGAAGAATGGAAAGAAAAAAATAGGAGGGTGAAGAAGGACTGTTACTTTATGGAAGAATTCTACTCTTAAATGTTTCTTAATTTTATAAAGAACTGTTTTGTGAAGAACATGGGGTGTCAGGCAACTAAACTTTATGCGATCCATTTTGTGACTGCATTATGAGGGTTAGAAGATTCAGCTGTGTGAGTCCCCAAACAGATGGTATTAAAAATCTTTCTTGGGTACTGCTATTTAATTAACCTACTATTGTGGTAGAGTGTTATCATCTGGTGTGAGATGAAAAGCGCTGTAGGAGAGCTGAACTTTATTCCTGTGTAGACAACAACAATAAAACAAATAATACAACATCGACCTTTAAACAGTGTCATAACAACATTTAACTGGCAAAAAAAAAAAAAAAATTACTACCATGACAGTGCACATGTTAAGGATTGCAAACTTTTAACATACATTTGGTGACATAGATGTTAACACTTCTTTTTCTGGAAAAGAGTGTTGTGCACCATACAAATACTGAAAGCCTGGTTTCTCGTGCTTGGATTTCACAAATTAATTTTCTGGAAGGGAAAGTAATCTAAAAGAAAACATCTACAGCAGAAAGAAAATCCATATTCTAAGATTCTAGTTTTAACATTATCTGTATCATAAAAATATTATTAACTTGACTCAAAGTGGAGACTTTCTTGGTTAATTATATCACAACCTGATTTTACAATAAAATATGATAAATTTGTGAGCACCATATTTGTTTGCACTTATATAGAAAAGGAT